TTGTGCCAGACAAGTGCCCAGAACCCAGGACAGACTGTCCCCATGAGGGGTCTTTCCCCCGGCGCTGAGCTGGGTCCCTAGGATCGTTATTTGCCAGGGACAGGACATGGGAATTTGTTGACTCTTTTGGCTCCTCCATCCCCTCCCCTCTCCTGTTAAAGCAGCGTTGGCCTGGGCCTGTGTGAATAGATGGCACGGGGGAGGGGTGGAGGTGACAGAACGTAGCCCTGTGCCCACACCCTACACCTAATTGCAATATTCACGGTACAAATTATGCCTTGTGAGGGACCATTGGAAAACTCATAATTTGCTGGTCATTATTATTCTGATAAAATATGTGTGGCAACATCTAAACCCCCATCCCTGCCCAAACGGTGGTTGGCAAATCGCCCTGAGTCCTTGCCCCAGATGTGGGGAGCAGCGGTGGTGGGAAAGGGGGGGATCCCCCATTATATGTTTTAAAGGATTTGGCTCCTTCCTCCTATGCCACATTTCCGGTCTCATTGACTCCAGTGTCTGGACTGACACTGCAATAAGGACAAGGCGTGACTCTGGATTAACATGAGGGAGGTTGTGTCATTAGTTACTGTCACCGGGGGCGCTGGCTGTTGCTGACGGAGGGGCGGCTGCTCTCTCTTTCCACTCAAGGTGTCGAGTTTGAGTTTCTTGCGTCACACGCTGCTGCCTCCAGTGTGATCTGGGAACGCTGGGCCGAGCAGCTTCTCTGCCCCAGCAGGGTCTGTGCCATGGAGAGACCTTCGTTAAAGCGCCTTCTGTGCCCAGCCAAGGGGAGAGACTTTCTCCAGTGGCTGGAACTAGCCCCCTACAGTCGCCCCGGGCTCTGCCAACACCCACCTCTGAGCCAGAGACCTCAGGGAAAGTGCTGGGATTGGGCAGGGAAGTGACTCTGCACAAATGTCCCGGGAGCCTCGGATTTCACAGCCCCTGGGTATGTGCTCCCTGGTTGTGAATGTCCCTGAGGGAGGGCTGGGAGCTGCCTGTACAGCAGTGAAGCGGCTGCACTCAGCTCCTGCCAGGATCTGCCCAGGGAGCAAACTGGGGGATTCAGGAGGGGAAGAGGCTGGGCCCCAGTGGGGTTTGCCCTTTGTGTGTCTGGAGGGTGGAGGTGTCAGGAAGGGAAAGGGGGGAAGACTTGCACTGTGTTGACCTCAGTACATCGACCATGGCTCAGCATTGCTTGGGGGGGGGGGGGGTGTTACCGTGTTGGCATAATGGACAGTTTACATTGGTGGGAGAGAAATTTAAGTGCAGAGACACGCGCAACTAAGTCAATGCCATGCAGCTTACGTTGACCTAGTGTAGATGAGGTCTTTATAATGTAGAGTAGGCCTGGGAGGCTTTAATCCTGGCGGGAAGACCTATCGCTAATAAAATCACTGTGGGAGAGCCTAGATAGTCACTTGCCACGGAAAAAAGTCTGGTCGGGCCTCTGTGTGAAAAGGACAAAAGCCTCTTCTGAAATCTCTCCAATTGTTCTTTTCGCCCCGACAGGCTACAGAATAACGTCCATGTTTTTCTCTGGATCGTCCCACCCTTCCAGAGGAAAGGCAATGGCTGCAGCGGAGTTAGCTGAGGTATGGGATTTTCACGGAGCTGGTGGTGGGTTCTGGCTGGAGGGAGATGGGCAGTAAATGTACAGGAGGGTGGGAGCTGCTGGAGGTGGGAGAGGGCAGGAAATAACCAGGGTGGGGAAAGAGAGAGGACAAACTTGCCAGAATGAATTCGGATTAGGCCCCACATTGAAGGAGCAGGCTCCTGGGGTTTGGGTGTGGAACTTTCCCCTGTTTGTGGAACAGGAAATAACCCCCTGGCCAGAGCTGCAAAAACTTCCCAGACTCCTAGTGCTGCAGCCTGAACCAACAGATACACTTCAGCCACTTTTGGGGGAGGGATAGCTCAGTGGTTTGAGCATTGGCCCACTAAACCCAGGGTTGTGAGTTCAATTCTTGAGGGGGCCATTTAGGGATCTGGGGCAAAAAAAATTGGTCCTGCTAGTGAAGGCAGGGGATTGGACTTGATGACATTTCAAAGTCCCTTCCAGTTCTATGAGACAGGTATATCTCCATATATTTTATTTTTTATTTACCACTCTCCCAAACTCTGTCTCATCTGCAAACTTCACCAGTGATGATATGTTCTCTTCCAAGTCATTGATAAGCAAGTTAAATAGCAGAGGGCCAATAACCGATCCCTGTGGGACCCCAATAGAAACCCACCCACGTGACCATTTAGAGTTACACTTTGAAATGTATCAGCTGGTTTTGAATCTAGTTCATGTATGTCATGCTAATTTTGTGTTGATGTAGTTGTTTAAGTATCATGCTGTACCTGGTCAAATACCTTAGAGAAATCAAAGTATATTACATTAACACTATTCCTTTATCGACCGAACTTCTGATCACCTTCAAAAAAAAAAAATCCAATTAGTTTGTGAGGATCTGTTTTCCCTAAATTTTTGTTGATTGGAATGAATTATATTACCCTCTTTTAATTCCCCCTCTGCCCCCTCATTATCTTGCCCATGTTCGATGTCAGGCCTGTTATCTTGGTCATCCCTTTTACAATTTTTTTTAAATATAGGGGCAACTTTATTGTTGACTTCCAGTCTTCTGGAGTTTCCGCAGTGTTGCAAGAGCTCTTGAAAAACAGCATTAATGGTCCAGAGAGCTCCTCAACCTCCTCAGCCTGCTTTTTTAAAACTCCTGAATGGAAGATATCTGGAACTGCTGATTTCAAAAATGTCTGACGTTAGTAGTTTCTGTTTAACATCCTCATGAATTATTATTTTAATGAAAAGAGTGGTGTTGTCATCATAAACATATCACGACATCATTTGCTTGTTTTCCCCAAATCCAAGAGTGAAATACTCACTGAACATTTTTACTTCTTCTGTATTATTATTATTATTGATAATTCTGTCCGTTCTGTCTAGTAATGGACCAATAACGTTGTTAGGATTTTTTGTTTGTTATTGATATACTAAAAAACAAGAACCCTCCTTCATATTTCCTTAATTCTGCTGGCCAGAGAGTTCTCCATTTGTTTCTTTGCTTTGCCTTATTAATGTTCTACAATTCCAAGCTTCTGACATTTTTTCCTGTCGACTTCCTCTTTCTTCCAGGTGTTTGTTTATATATAATTTTATGGGGGGGAGATATTGGGATTGCCGCCAGGAGGCTGTCCCTGACCCTGCCGGGGACTCCATTTCCTGTATCAGCTTCTGGTTAGTAGGTGTGTGATGAATATGATGACCCCTGTCCCCACTGGGCAGCGTGAGGGGCTCTCTTTTTCTCCCCTCAACCTGGTGCCTCCTGG